ATGGGAGGAATCAACCTCCCGAACTTCAAACTGTACTACAAAGCAGTAATAATTAAAACAGCATGGTACTGGAACAAAGGCAGAACTGCAGACCAATGGAACAGGGTTGAATACACTGACATCTCTCCTCAATCATATGCTCATCTAATCTTTGATAAAGGTGCAAGTAATGTGAAGTGGAGTAAGGAAAGCCTCTTTAATAAATTGTGTTGGCATCACTGGACGGCTACATGCAAAAAAATAGGCTCAGAACTCTGCCTAACACCATGTACAAAAGTAAGATCAAAATGGATTAAAGACCTCAACATCAGACCAGAAACCATAAGGTACATTGAAGATAAAGTTGGCAAAACCCTCCATGACATTGAAGCTAATGGTATCTTCAAAGATTCCACGCCACTGGCCGACCAAGTGAAAACAGAGATAGATAAATGGGACTATCTTAAACTAAGAAGCTTCTGCACCTCCAAAGAAACAGTGACCAAAATACAAAGACAGTCTACAGAATGGGAAAGGATATTCACCGAATACACATCTGACAAGGGGTTGATATCCAGGATATACAAAATACTGGTTAAACTCCACAAGAAGAAAACATCCAACCCCATCCAAAAATGGGGCAATGAAATGAACAGAAACTTTCTCAAAGAAGAAATCCGAATGGCAAAAAAGCACATGAGAAAATGCTCTACATCATTAATCATCAGGGAGATGCAGATCAAAACCACAATGAGATACCATCTCACACCTCAGAGACTGGCCCACATTCAAAAGAACAAAAGCAACCGATGCTGGCGTGGATGTGGCGAGAAAGGGACACTCCTTCACTGTTGGTGGGAATGTCCACTGGTTCAGCCCTTCTGGAAAACAGTATGGACGATTCTCAAAAAATTAGAAATTGAGCTCCCATTTGACCCAGCAATACCACTCCTGGGAATATATCCCAGAGAGGCAAAAATGTATAGTCGAAGTGACATCTGCACTTGTTTGTTCATTGCAGCCCTCTTTACAATAGCCAGAAACTGGAAGAAACCTGAATGCCCAAGAACAGATGACTGGTTAAAGAAACTTTGGTACATCTACACAATGGAGTACTATGTAGCTCTTAGAAAAGATGAAGTCATGAAATTTACATACAAGTGGTACAATATGGAAAGTATCATGCTAAGCGAAATGAGTCAGAAAGAGAGGGATAGACATAGAAAGATTGCATTCATCTGGGGGATATAAAGTAACAAAGTATGAGATTAATACCCAAGAATAGCTGAGATCAGCACCAGGAGGATTACTCCATAACTTAGAGGCCAGCCGGGTATCCTAGAGGAAAGGGCTATTCAGATAGAGAAGGGAGCACCAAATAAAGGATGTTTGGAGGATCCTCCCAGGAGGGGAGATGCATGTCGAAAGTAGACTATGGACTGAACATGTTTGCCACTCAATGCCTCTTTTGCAGACCACAACACCCAAAAGGAGAGAGAGAACACAGGGGATTGCCCTGCCACAGAGACGGGGGGATGGGGGGATGGGGGTGGGAGGGATATTATCCATGGTGGTGGAAAATGGGCACTGGTGGAGGGATGGGTATCTGATTATTGTATAATTGAAACCAAAGCACAAAAAATTGTAAATCTACAACTTTAAAAAAAATAAAATAAAATAAAGGGGGAAAAAAAAAAAAAAAAGAAAATCAACATTCCCATCCTTTCAGGCATATGGATACTCGAAGGCTGGGGGGGGGGGGGGGGGGGAGGCATAAAAACAGTCATCCGAGGGGAAAAGTATCATCGACGATATCCGACTGCTACCTAATCAGAATCAACAAAGAATGAAAAACAGATAAATTAGAGTTTTCCTCATTTATTAATGTTCCAAGGACAAAAGAAGAAATTACAAGTTAGACGATGCATGAAGAAGATATGAAGAAGATGATGGACTAGGAAGAACTTGCGTTTACTTCCTCCCACGATTACGACAAATCTTTAACTCAATATGAATTCATCCGCTCAGAAATACACCCAGAACAATACAGTCTCTAGAACAAAAAATTAAAAAGTACCAACCCGATGGAGAGAAAAACAAGATATAGTCTCACCAAACGAGAAGCACCAACCTAGGGGCAACGAGGCTCAATCTAGAACTGAGATCTAACATGTAGAATTTCTCTCTGGAGGGCTGGGGAAGAGTTGTGTCTGGTAGCTAGCACTGCACGGAAAACCTCCAACCCAGCATAGCAGAGGTTCCGGGAACTCCTGCTTTGAGGGCCAGAAGGAAGTGAGCGCAGCAAAGCTCAGAAAAAGGCTGAGAACTCAGACTCACTCACCAAGAGAACCAATTCACAAGAAAATAAAAGATCTATCACAAACCTCCAAGAAACAAAGTTGAGGGTTGGATGTTTTCTCTGGTGAATTCAAACATACATCCAAAGACCTAACGGCATCTTTCTCAAACGTTTTCATAAAATCAAAAAGGAGAAAAGGTTTCCTAATTCAGATTATTAGCTCAGCATTAAGTGGATGAAGGGAGGAAGGAAGGGAGGGAGGGAGGGAGGGAGGGAAGGAAGGAAGGAAGGAAGGAAGGAAGGAAGGAAGGAAGGAAGGAAGGAAGGAAGGAGGTCTGAAGTGATAGCACAGTGGGTAGAACGTTTGCCTTGAATGAGGCCGACCCAGGTTCGATTCCCAGGATCCCTGAGCACTGCCAGGAGTAATTTCTGAGTGCAGAGCAAGGAGTAACCCCTGAGTATTGTCGGGTGCAATGCAAAACAAATAAATAAAGGGAGGGAAGGAAGGAAGGAAGGGAGGGAGGTAGGGAAGAAGGAAGGAAGGAAGGAAGGAAGGAAGGAAGGAAGGAAGGAAGGAAGGAAATTACAGGTCAAAAGGTCATATCTTTGAAGATCAATGACGCAAAAATTCCCAACAAATTTTTTCCAAACAAAATTCAACAACATATCAAAAAGGTTGCATATCACAATTAAGTGGGAGTCATTCCAGGTGCCATAAAAAGATGGCTCAAAATGCAGAAATCCATCACAAATGAAAGATTTTTTAAAAATCAACAAACGAAAGATTCAAATGCAGGGTTGGAGAACAGGCAGGGCTTAAGGGGCTGCACACTGCCCACCCAGGTTTCGACTCTTCACAGTCTGACCCTGATGCACTGCTGCAGGAATGTGAATAGGTACAAATCCAACAGAGGAAGAACAAAGTAATTTTTTAATAAAACCAAACTAATTATTTTTAAAATAATTTAAAAAAACTGTCAAATGATTCAACTTCATTTATGAGTATTTATTAGAATATGAAAACATTAACTCAAAAAGATATGCACCCCAATATAGAGCGGCACTATTCACAACAGCAAAGAGAAACAGCTGGGTGTCCAAGATTTAAAAAAAATTATAATAAAACTGGATAAAGATGTAGGATCTATACACAGTGGAATTATACTCAGCTAGAAAAAAGGGTGAAATCTGGCCATCTGGACAGACAACATGGATATACCTTAAGGGAATTGCACTAAATGAAATAAGTTTGATGAAAACAACAAATACCATATGATTTTAGTCATTTGTGGAACATAAAGAAACAAAGCAAGCAAACAAACAAAAACCAAGGCAAACTCAGACTCTGAAGCAGAATGGTAGAAACCAGAGGGGAAATATCTGGGCTGGGAGACAGACATACAGAAATGAACTGCCTGTGGTGGAAGGTGTCTGGATAAACTGAGGCAGGGTGGTGTGACAGACCTAGTTAAGGGGAGGAACTGTCAACCAGAAATTCAATTAAAAGAAGAAAAAAAAAGGGAAAATCTCAAAGCTCTTTACTCTTAATTGTGCTTCCAAACTCTGATCCTACACACAAAGACTCAAGTGTACCAGTCAAACCTGACACCCAGGAAGTTCACTACCTGAATACCTTCAGAATCAATGAGCCCTCCTTACATTTTGCAGATCAGTGGCCTCACTTTACAGATGCAGAACCAGTTCTGAGGATTATTGACCCAGGCGGGCAAACAGAACCCTGCCCACCTCCGGGGCTTCCAGGTCAAGGTTCTCCCAGGTGTTAACCAGCAGGGCAGGTTTCCCTCTCCTGGATTGGGCCGACCTGAGGACATCAAAGCGAAGCTCCCATGGGCTTCTCTTGGAAGGCTTTGTCCTGCTGCATCCCTGGGGCCAAGGGCTAGGGGCAAGGAGGACCCTGGGGATATGCTGATCAGGAGTCACCCAGTGCAATTAGTCACTGGGCAAGGGCACAATGCAGGCCTGGAGTGGGCAGTGGCTTTGGGGGTTACCAGGCACGCCCCCCTTTCACATGAGCGGGGAGGCGAGGAAGGTCCTGAGAGAATGGCCTTGAGAGCCTAGGAAGCCCACCGAAGTCAAGGAGAGGGGATACTCTGCATCTCGCAACCTGTATCCTCTCTGCCCTCTTCCTGCCACGTCCCTCTGGACCAGCATCACTGGGCAGCCGGAAGAGCCACCCCGCCCCTCCATCCCCGCCCCCCACCAGGGAAACGTCCGCATCTATCTGTCTCCCCCCATCCACCCCACCCCAAGGAGGGGACGCAGAACGTGGGGCGCGGGGTGGGGGGGTGGGACATCCACTAGGAAGCCGGGAGCGTGGCACTGGAGGGGAAAAGGCCAGGCCGCGGCTTGACGGACAGCGCGTGCGGCCAATCGGCAGCCGGGCGGTCGGTAGGCGGGGCTACGGTTGCCAAGGGCCCGCGGCCCGCGCCGGACACGCCGGCAGGGCGGGAAGCCGGGCACCGTCGGGGACGCGGGCGGGCACACCCCCTCGGGGCTCGGACCCGCGGCCCGGCGAGCTGCCTCGGCACGGGGATTGGGTCCTGGACGCCTCGAGGGACCGACTGGGATGCCCGGGCGCCCGGGGCCAAGCGTCCCTCCGCGCGGCCAGGGGCGGAACTGAGCGTCCCCGAAAACGCTTGGCCCGCGATCACAGCCGGGCCCCCCAGTCCAGTCCCCTCGCCCCTGCCGGACTCACACACACACACCTCAGCGCAGCCAAGAAAAGGGCCCGCCAACTTCTTGTCCTGCTGGGAACGGTGCTGTCCACGGTGCTGTCACTCAAGGGCGGGGGCGGGACGAGGCAGCCGCACTCCCGCGGCTCCCAGTGGGCGGCCCGGGGAGGGGGCGGGGCCCCGCGGGAGAGGGGCGGGGCCAGGCCGCGCGCTGCGCTGCCATTGGTCGGCCGCTCTCCCGCTCCGCGGTCCTGCCGGCACACGCGCGGGCCCAGGTGCCTCGCATCCTTTGGATGCTGCTCCGGGCCGCTGGTACCTGTCCCAACTCGCAGCCTGTTGGTGGGAGTGGAAAAGAAGGACCGCAGCTTGGTTTTTGTTTTGTTTTGTTTTGTTTCAAATCTATAAAACGCACTATCTTTGATGGTCAAGATATTATTAGCCTTAACATCTTTAATGTTATTTAACATTATAATCTTTAATATTCAAGACGTCCACCTCCATTGATCTACATTGGTCTTCTGGTAGCGTCCCTACACGTTAATGAAAATAATAGAGTTTAAGCAGTGTGCATCTGCGTCTGTCTGTGTTTTATTAAGAAATGAATCCATTTCAGAAAGGTCAATCCTGAAATGGGATCAACAAGTATGACTTGGAGGTACCCAGTGCCAGCTACTAAATGGGGATGAAACTACTTTATTGGCTCTTATTTAGCGAACATTTGACATATGTATACCTTTTGCAAGTCTTATGACATCCATAAGATGTTACTATCCGCGACCTATGACAAATAAGACTGAGATTCACAAGTTACATTTATTCATCATTAAAAGTAAAACGTGTTTTTGGACATTATTTTCATGAAGTGAGTAAAAATTAAAATTCTTTTTAAAAGTGCACAACTTCCAATTTTAATTTTTTTCTTCTCCAAGTATGTCACTTTGCTAATGACCAAACTATCATGTCTGTTTTTCAAGTCTTTAGAAAGATAATTTAGCACTGTTAGAACTGTCTTCTCATTGTTCATCAGTTTGCTCCAGTGGGCACCAGTAATATCTCCATTGTGAGACTTGTTGTTAAAGAAAAATAATTATAACTCATTATACTGTCACTGTCCTCCCATTGTTCATCAATTTTTCTCCAGCAGACCCAGTAACGTCTCCACTGTGACACTTGTTACTGTGTTTGGCATATCGAGTATGTCACAGGTAGTTTGCCAGGCTTTGCAATGCAGGCGAGATACTCGCAGTAGATTGCCTGGCTCTCAGAGAGGGGCAGAGAAATCAAACCTGGGTCGGCCGGGTTACAAGACAAATACCCTACCTGTTGTGCTATCGCTCCAGCCCAACTCATTATAACTAAGACAAATTTATAGATCACCTAGAAGTTTCTCTGAAGTCTCCCATGATTATCAGGGCCAGGAACTGAATCCAAAATATGATCTTGTTTTCTGACCTCTAAATCATTTACTAATCTTTAGTTCCTCTCCCAGAAATAAAGGTAGAGCGAAATGAGATTATCTAAATATTCCTAATAAGATTTTTGTGCATAATTTTAAGTTTTCTCTCTTTTATATTAGACAACACACAAAAGTGTTTATCTTGTCAGATCCAACAGAAGAAGAAATGAAATCAAGAAAGAATGGAGGGAAGAAAGGAGGGAGGGATAGGGTGTTTTGATTGTCAATTAAAATGTCAACTACAGCACGATAAAATTGTTGATCTAAAAGAAACACCTATTGCAATGACTTTATTACCAAAAAACTTAAAATTTTCCAATTCTTCTCAAAATTATACAAAAAATAACTATACAAAAAAATTATATGACTCAAATTTTCCATGATTTCTCTTTGATCTTTTAAAAATATTTGGCTTTAGAATTTAAAAGTTGATTGTATATTAATAATTACATTACATAACTAAGATTAAAATAAAAGTGGTAAATTATTTATTTGAATTCTTTTCAATTGCTTCAGATAAGTAAAATCTGCATTTGTTTCAATATCCTCACATATATAAGAGTATACATTTGAATAAATGTATTGTATGCATGTAAATGAGTAATCATTGAAATAAACACAGCTGTATATCTACCATATGGATCTCTCCAGATGTTTGAAGCATACATTCAAATTTCTGGAACTCACACCTTAGTATCTGGTTAGACATTTAGTAGGAACTAGTGTGCTACACATTCCTAGGACTATACTTCATATACATCTTACTGTCAAAGTTGTTGAGATCACGGGGATCAGACTTGTGCTTGTGGTTCTCGCCGTAGGCAGGCATATCCAGGTGTGGTGTTCTCATGCCCGGATCTCACTGCAAGGTCAAACCTTTTTTCCTTGAGGTGCTTCCACACATGCTGGTTGTAATGTGCGCTGAGGATGGCTCTCACAAGCCATCTAGGGATGATAGTCCTGACTGTGATGCATGTACCTTTTTCATCACAGTGCTCACGCACACACTTGGCTACCGTGCACTGGGGATTGCCCACTGCCTTGGACGTTGGGGGTCTGACACAGCAGAGCTGCTGGGCCATGCTCAGTGCATCGAGGCAGCATCAAGGATTAAACTTGTGCTGGAAGTCGGCCCCACATGCTGGGGGAGAAGCAGATGGGATGGAGAAGGAACCACTAAGTAACTGATGGTTTGGGGATCGGAGATGTGTGCTGAAAGTAGACCAAGCACCAAACACGATGGCCTCTGAGTATCTGTGTTGCAAACCATAATGCCCCAAATTAAAGAGAGAGTAAGAAGGATGGTACCTCTCACAGAGGCAGGGAGTGGGATGGCGTGGGGGTGGCGGGTGGAACAATGAGAACAATGGTGGTAGAAAATGTGCACTGGTAAAGGGATGGGTGCTTGAGCATTGTGTGACTAAAACGTAATCATGCCCATTTGTAACTGTGTCTCACGGCGATCCAATAAAACTTCTTAAAAGAAAAAAAGGTTTAAACTCATGGTCTCAAACTTGCAAGGCAGTAACTTTTGCTATGGGGTCATCCCCAGGACCCCAGGAATAAATAACAGAGTTCTATCTTGAGCGAGAATATAAGATTAGAAAAGGACGTGAGTGAGTCGCTGCCAGTGAATTTTATGAACATATCCTTATAGGATTGCTTGACCAACAAATTACAAGCAGTTTATTAATCTACAAAGTGCACAGTAATCAACTTATCCTATATGCATATCACCAGTGCAAAGTAATCTTTCAAAATAATTAAAATCCCCTTAGTACACTTACCACTTAATATTTCTAGTTTTGGAGCAGGAGAATGTCATATTTATCAAGCCACAATTATTTATTTTTTAATTCATGCTCAGTACTTAAACATACATAATTTAAAATTTCCCTATAGGCATAAATGTATATTAAAAGAAATTATGAAGACAAACTAGCCAGGCATCAAATAAAATATATCTTAGTAACAGTGAAGAGAGGTCAGCGGCTTAATGTAAAATTAAAAGAGCCAAAGGTATGTTATGAATATGCTTTTTTTTTCTTTTTGGGTCACACCCAGCGATGTACACTGGTTACTCTTGCCTCCTGCACTCAAAAATTACTCCTGTGGTGCTCAGTGGACCATATGGGATGCTGGGAATCGAACCTGGGTCGGTCACGTGCAAGGCAAATGCCCTACCCTCTATGCTATCACTCCAGCCCTATGAATATGCTTATTTCTTTGCCATGACAATTTTGACATTCAGTTCAAATTTTTATAAATTGTTATTTAAATGAAAATCTAATCATTTGACATGCTAACATCTCTCTTCCAAAGAAGTATGCATAAGCTTAAAATTTGGATGAACTGATTTGGGTCATTTCTAGAAACTTGACAGTCAAAAATATTTGATATACATTGAATATATTAAAAATAATAAATATTTTAAATGCATCCATCTTTTTTCGCAGTCCTTTGTCTCAATTATTTTTTTTTTTTTGCTTTTTGGGTCACACCCGGCGATGCTCGGGGGTTACTCCAGGCTCATGCACTCAGAAATTGCTCCTGGCGGTGCTCAGGGGACCATATGGGGTACTGGGAATCGAACCTGTGTCGGTCATGTTGGCTGCGTGCAAGGCAAACGCCCTACCCGCTGTGCTAATATTCCAGCCCCTGTCTCAATTTTTTAATTGATTTATACAATGTAGTTCTCACACTGGAATTGGTTACTTAATAGATCAAAGACACATGACTCACTGTTTCTTTGGATTCATTCTAGATCAGAAAGGTAATTCGGATTAGTTTTGTTTAAAATACTTGGAAGAATGGGGCGGGAGCAATAGCACAGCGGGTTGGGTGTTTGTCAATTCCCAGCATTTCCTATGGTCCCCTGGGCACCACTAGGGGTGATTCCTGAGTGCAGAGGCAGGAGTAACCCCTGTGTGACCCAAAAAGAAAAATAAAATACTTGGAAGAATGACTTTAAATGTTTTGAATATGAATCTAAGAAATTCTTGTGATTCCCCCAAAGCTGTCCTCATAATACTCAAGCACCTGTGTCAGCCCGATTACATCTACACCCTAGTGTCTGTGGCGAGCTGGAAGGTGTGAGGTGGTGGAGGATGAAACCTGGGATCTCAGAAATGCAAAGCAAGTTGTTGCATCTAGGCCAACCTATCCTATCTTGTAGAACTTTTAAACAATTTCTAGGTTTGTTTTACAACAAATGGGTGGTCAACAAACAGTCTTCTGTGAGCTTTCTTGATGCAGATTTGCGATTTCTTCTTCAGTTTGTAATATAAGATTAGAATAACAGATTTGTAAACTGTGCATGTTCTAAGGGAAAATATAGTACCAAATTAATTTTCTCAAGGTATTGTATTTCCCCCCCTCAAAATAAAAGTTTTTATGAGATTCAAACACCAATCTCTTTAGAAAATCGGCTGTTGGCTTTGTTAATATTTTCTTGATTGTTTTCTGTATCATTGACTTCACTCTTCATCTTTATTGCTTCTTTGATTTTTCCGTTTACTCAATTTTCAGCTTTTAAAAAATGTCCTCAAGTTAGAAACCAAAATAATTGATTTAAACTTGTATCATTGGCAATATAAGCACTTAAAGCTAGAAAATTTTCTCTAAGGACTGTTTTACTGAGATCTCATAATTTTTGTTATGTGTGTTTCAAT